GTAAGCCCCCCTCCACCACTGTTCACAACATGTCTTTGATAACCAAAGACAATTATATAAATCAGTCAAAATCTAGAGAGAGTTGTTATGTCTGTGCCCCAGTAAATATTGCCATCTGAATCAACTTAAAAGCTGAGCTACAACATCCTTAAGTAGATGTGATTCTTGACGTGGTTCTTGTACAATATTTCTGTATTTTAATGCATTTCCAGATTTCTGGGTAAAGCCAGAACATTTGAGGTGCACTCTGCAGAAAGGAACTACTCACTCTAGATTTTTTGTTTAAAAGTCATTTTCTTTTTTTTTCTCTCCTTTGTCTTTTTCCTTTTTTTTTCTTTTTTTTTTAAATAAATGCGCATTTCACATCGTTACTTTTACTTCACAAGACTTTATTGAACCCCAGCAGCTTTTTGTTAGGTCACCAGGTTGCTGCTCATTAACAAGCTTTCAAAAGGCTTTCAGCCAGAGTGGTTAGAGAGGGACTTCTGGTCACTTTGGTCAGTGAGTCAGCAGCAAACAGTTCACACATCCTGACAGTGTTTGGGAATCGTGGCACACTCCAGGACTTCAGTCCATGACACAGTATCAGTAGTTAAACTAAGCAGCTTGGTCCCCCCATCAGAGATCAACTTTGTGCACCTCTGTCAGCATGCACACCTGTGTGCAAGTACCCAAGCTTAACATACACGCAAGCACTCAGTCTCACTCCCTCCCTCTCTCTCTCACACACACACACACTCACACTTCTCCATACTACACCCAGTGGAGGCACTTCATATGAAACTGCAGAACCTGACTGTGGTGGGCTGTAACGAGGCAGTTCAACATTAACCGGGCGGGTCTGTCTAATCCTTTAGTGTTTTCACCCAGTCAACTTAATGTTAAAGAAACCCAAACAGGCTTGGAAGGTCTTTAGGCCACAGTGGGTCAGACTTCACTCTGCCACCTTGAATACTGGTCAGTTTTAATTCATTAATACAGAATCTTCTTTAAATTTGGCTCATAAGACATACAAACAGCCAAACATACCTGCATTTGACTGGTGACAACTTTCACCCATCAAATAAATAGGAACTTATTTCACTGATACAGCCCATATATCATCACCACAGAAACACACACACGCGCACACACACACACACACACACACAGATCATACGTGTGTGTCAAGATTTAATTTAATAGCAGCTTCAGGGGGCAGGCACATCAAAAATGAGAGCCAGAAAAAACAAAACCTAAACTAAAAAGTAAATTAAAAACAAAAAAAACTGCCATTAAGTACAAAGACTGAACTCCAGAAAAGCTACAGCTTGTAAGAGAATTGTCTCTTTGAAGATTCATCATCTTGCAATTCTTTCTCCCTTTTAATCTGTACGATGTTCTGAGAACAATCCAGTTAGGAAAAAAAAGAACTGCTGTTGTGAAAGACATTAAAGCAATGATGCAAACCTATTGCCTGCATCAGGATGTCACCTATGGCACCTAATGTGAAAATACCTATGGCTTCAGGATGCAGTGGTCCAAAAAAATAAATTAAACTATGAGGATATTACATGTAACAACTAAAAACAGTTCAAATACCTTAAAATAACTGCTACATCCCTGGTCTAAATACCTATTAAATCTGCTATCAAGTCATTTTTTTCTCCACTATCCTAAATCCTTAGATAGGCAACATTTCAGACAGAAGGATGAGGGCTTTATAATCTGGGATGAGTAGCATTATTACCTTAAGGCAATATCATCCATTCCTACTGCCTGTACATGTTAACACCTTCCAAATAATCCAACATTAGCTTTAAACAGAGAAACCAAAGTTCAGGGGCAAAAAACAACAACAACAAAAAAAGAAAAAACAACCTTCCTCACAGCCATACACAAGTTGTGATCCTGGCAAAGAAACTGTTAAAGTAGACTATAACTAGTGTGTCATTTAAGGCTTTTTCCAGAAGGCTTGAGGTTAATACAGCAACACAAGCCCAGACAACATCAACTATGGTACATCTAGTAAAACATGACCTGCATTACATGTTCTTAGTTCTTTCTCTGTAGGTCACAAAAATACGACACGTGGTAAGGCCGGTGACTAGTAGATGAACAACTGACCACAAGCCCCACAGAAAAGGAAACATCCACGCCACATCAATTCACTTGCATTACAGTAGTAAAATGGTGACAACCTGTGCTCAAGGGAAATTACATTTTCCCCGGTAGCATGATCTGACGTACTTGCATGCATGCACATGATCAGTTTACCTTTCACATACAGACACGCTCAGTTTAAAGTAATGGGACCCATTCTGTTTCACATTGCCTAAAGATTAACATGTGGGGAGCTAATGAGACTTTCTGCCCCTGTTCCAAATGTTAAGCATGACATTTAAAAGCAAATTCTACGATTCAAGTAAGACAATGTACAGAAATGCAAAAACAACAACAACAAAAAAGAAAATTTTAAAAAGAACTCCCACACAACAAGAATCTCAGAAATGGAGAAGGTTACCGATTTTGCTAGTTCTGGCAGGGTTTTTTTTTTCTTCCTTAAAAAACAAAAACAAAAACATAAAACATCCCACCAAGAGCAATGTCAAAAATCACCTGGACCACCAACAATATCGTTCAGAAGCCATGTTAGTATTCCTGATAGGGGAGCTCTGGCTCACACCCAGACCCCTTTACAAATGTACACTGCAGCTATGGGATTGAGCACTGTCAACAGTCCTAATAATTGCATATACAAATAACCCCCATTCAAATGGATCAAAGCTGTTAGGAAGATAAATAATTGCAAATAAAAACATTACACAAAGACATCCTATTCTATCTTGCCTCTGGGCAGTTCTAAGGCCACACATGCTAATAAAAGTTGAGTTGTTCCATGTCAACCTATGAAAAGCACTGTGACAATCATAAGGCAAGCATAGTCTCAGCTGCAAATTAACATTTCTCAACACCATAGATATATGAACAAACAGCAGCACATCTGTGCCAGAGATAAAACAGTCGACAACGATCTCAAAAACCCTTCATCTGCAACAAGTACGACATGGCTTAAGACCTGAGGAATACTTTGAAACATCACACCTGGTGGGTCTCCAAATCAAGCTCTGAAGCAATGCAATTTAACTGCTCACTTTGAAGGTTTTAAAGAGTAAAATACAGAAGCTGAAAGCAGCTGTAGACCAGAACAAAAACAAAGAACTCAGTACACGCCACATGGGCATCAACGCACATTTAACAGTAGCCTGGGCGATGAGCATGGACTGCTCCGCTGCTGCCAGGTTCCTGAACTTGGCTCCTGGCGGACCTGTGTATATTCCCCATTGCATCCACATTCTGCTCCTGAAAGCTGGGCATCTGAAAATCCCCACCTAAGAAATCCATATTCTGCATCAGCTCTGACTGGTCATTAGGACCCTCCTTCCCTGGCCTATACTTTGCCCCTGGGATTCTGTCTCTGGAAGCAGCAGCCTGCCCTCCCTGGAAAGCCATTGAGAGCTCTTGAGGGCCATTGTTTCCTGCTGTTGCTTGAACGCTGCTCCACGGTGGCTTCATGTAGTGGCCATTAATGTAAGGCATAGAACTTGCTGGGCATTTAACAGGGGATGAGGGTTGCGGTTTTTCTGCAGGATGATTTAGGGGAAAGCTCTGTGCACTGTTTGGTAGCTTGTGGCTGTAGGAGAGGTTTCTGGAGGGGAAAGCACACTCAGCTGGAGGTTCCATCCTTGGATTCTTGCAAGGATTGGCCCCCTCAGGAGGCTGCTGCATGTGGGCTAACTGATGCTGAGCCCAGGAGCGTTGCTGCTGCAGCTGCTGAAGCTGCTGAAAATGTTGCTGCTGCTGTTGTTGTTTCTGCTGATGTAAATGGTGCTGAAGCTGCTGCTGCGCCACCTTCTCAGGGTTGGTGTGAAAAGCAGGTACACTATTAGCAGCAGCTATACTCTGCTGTGAATTGAGAGAAACGCTCGGAGCTTGGGCTGCAGCTTTGTCTGGTGGTCCCACCATGAGGCTGCTGGGTACGTTGCCCAGAGCTGGGTGGTGAGAGGACACCCTTGAGCTGGCATTGATGAGCAGGTTGCGGCTAATGGGGCTGGGGTTTGCAATCTGTCCCTCACAGACTGAGGTGGTGCCCATACCGGCCCGAGCCTGACACAGTTGGTTGATTTGGTGCACAATGATGCTCAGGTCACCAGGTCTGTTCTGATGCAGGCTGGCTGCCATGGACAGTGGGATGGTGGAGGTAGATACAGTTATATTTGGTGGGGCATCTGGGTCAGGGAGCTTCTGCGGCCCATAAGGTCCCAGTCGGGCTTGCTGGGGGCAATTAGGCATGGTAGGAGGGCCTGCAGCAACAGCCTGGGGAAGGGCCTGTGACCCAACTAGCCCCTGGCTGTGCTGCATGCTCGGAAGCTGAGATCCATCAGATATGTGGCGCAGATCCTGAGTCACTCCTTGCTGTGAATGTAAAGCTTGTGGAGGAGCCACCTGATGCTTTAGTGACTGCAGATGAGAAAGATGCTGCTGTGGTACAACTGACGAACATGACTGGCCCTGCTGTGGCTGCTGCTGCACAGTCTGGGTGTGAGGGAGGCTCTGCTGTCTCTGCATACCCTGTGGATGAGCCAATCTCTGCTGCTGTGGCGCCTGAATCTGGGACAAGCTCTGTTGCTGCTGGAGAGCTTGTGAACGAGCCATATTCCTTTGCTGTAAAGCTTGTGGGTGAGGCTGCTGTAAAGCCATTGGATGAGTCAAACGGTGCTGTTGCTGTAGTGCTTGAGGGTGAACCAAGTTTTGCTTCTGGAGTGCAGACTGAGACGGACCCTGTAGGTGAGGAGCAGGCTGAGGATGGTTTAAAGTGCTTTCAGTGGTGTAGGGCCCACTGTGAGGGTTCATGACTGAATTATGTAGTTGTCGGGCGTGGCTAGTGTCTGAGTTTTTGACAGGTGCACGGAGGACAGCCAGCAGGCCCCCACTGGTGCCGACCTGAGAGGAGTAGGGACTCTGGCGTTGGTTGGACAAGGATGTGTCAAGCCCGTTGACTGTGCGACGAATGTGCTTCTTTTGAGGTACTTTGACGCTGCTCGGGAAGATCTGGATGGTCAAAGGGTTGTTGGCAACTTTCTTAGCATAGGCATCCAACTCTGCTGGGGTTGGATAGCTGGCAGATCTTATTTTCTGTGTAGTTTCCCCTGCAAGATGTGCAAAA